TAACACTTTATTATCTGCTGAATAGTATTTAATCCTTATATTTCTCCTTCTACCATGCAGTAATTTGCTACTTTGATCATTTTTATTAGCAAAAACAAAGTATTTCTGGTCTAACTTCTTGTGCAAATGTTTAGTAAACTTGAAATAAGACAAAAGTAACTTTAACTTTTGGAGACATTTAGAGTGAATGAAAAAGTGGTCGTTATATTGGCAGATTATTTAATTAACAACATGGGGAAATGTCTTGTTTTAAGTTCAATAATCTGGCAGAGGAACTAGTTTTTTTCCATCAAAATTAGGGATTTATTTACTTAAAACAAACTCTTGTATCTTGCTGAAAACTTAATTATAAGTTAGTTTCGTCTTATTTCAAGTGTACTAAGATATTTGCAATAAACTGGACAAAAATACTCGGTGAGATTTTGTGTTTCTTGCAGTGCACAGATTGATACACAGTTATAATGGGTCAAAAAGACAAAAAACAAATTTAAGAAACCTTAAAAAGTCTGCAAAAAAAAAATTAAAAGGATTTGAACAGATTACAAGAAAATCTGGATTTCTGAAAACAAAAGGTCTAAAACTTTGTATAAAAACATATTTTATTCTGTTTTTAATGAATGCCATTAGTGTTTTTATTATCACTGAATTAAAAAAAAAAAGACATGAATGTGATGATTGTGGTTTAAAAACCTCCAACACACCTGAAAAATTAACTATTTATTTAAAACAAGATCAACTGATCCATTCCTTATGGTGAGACATAAAATCTGGTTCATGCTGTGAAAATAGTTAAAGCTCTAAAACTTTGGCTTTAGTGGAAAAATGTCCAAACTTCATCCAAAACCTGCAGGAGTTTTTTCAGCAGAGTTGGAAAAAAAAAAAGGAGAAATATTTGACATATTCTCTGAATCAGCCACAGTTTAGCTGAAAATCATGAACAAACACTTTGTGTTGCTGCTCAAAAGCCCCATTGGAGCGTTGCAGTCCAGCCAACCCTCTGACTAAACCTCTGCTGATGAATGCATTTCTTTTCCCTCCTCGCTCACAAAGGATGAACTTCTGCAGCTCATTCTAAGCACAGACCAATTTTCGCAGAATTTCCTTGATATTTTTGTTTGTTTTGTTTTGTTTTGTTTAACACCGAGGGAAGAGGTTGTTTTTTCAGTGAGTCCCGACTGCACCCAGTTCTGGGTAAAGGGGAGGGTGTTTACACCAGAAGAGTTAGACACATTCAAGTCAAGAGCAAGCGAGCGCGGCCTTGGGTTTTAACCGGCAACCGTCTGGTGGTGCAAAGTTACAAGAGAATGACAGAAAGTTGCACAAGGAGGAGGAGGAAACTTTGGGAAAGTGTTGCAAATTGTGATTAGTTATTAAAGATATCTCATATAATAGGGTTTTTGTGCATGGAGTGCATTACACAAGAGTAAAATTGTTGGAAAAAATTAATTATAAGGTGATTAAAAAGAGATATTTTATGCAGATATAATCAGTGGTGGTTCATTTTAATACACAAATGTTTTCAAGATCATATCTGAAGAACAAAAGCTTTATAATCTTGCTATAGCAACTTTTAAAAAAAGTTTAATTATAGTGAATATAGTGGAGTTTTCAGAGAAAAGTTGAATAATAAAATTGATTTTTATCTACTTTAGTTTAAATCAAACTCAAATTTCTCAAATCACTGTGCAACACCACTCTAATCAAAAATAAAATGCACCTTCATGAGTGTTTTTGTTGAATTATTACACACAAATGAACAAGTCTGCAGTTACCTCCTTTGCATGGGCATCATTTTTCTTACCATATGTCAAATTTCTATCAACATGCTTGTAAACAAGCAACTTTTATAGCCCATTTGTTGCTCAGGAAGTAGTTTTATCCTGCTGGATATGAAACAAGTCAGCACATGTTTCTCAGAAACTGGATTTCAACCTTCAACCTTGAAGCAGGTCTGAAACACGCTTTTCATGAATCCCACATTTTTGTCTTGAAAATAGTTTGTTTTGATTTAAATGCCGTGTTTTCATTACTTACAAATGAAAAATAATCCTAATTAACAGAAATAAAGGTTATTATTACACACACAAAAACAAGGCTGCAGTTACCTGCTTTGCATGTACATAATTTTTTTGATTGCACTTTTACCTTCCATTCAACTTTCTATTAATATACTTTAACAAGCAACTTTTGTTGCCCAACCTTACTTGTGGAAGTTGTCTCTTTCTGCTCGATAACCATCAACTTGACACATGTCTCCATTCCTGCAGCGCGCCTCTATTTTCAATTTATCTCATGCGATAATCCAATTTTCTGAGAATCTGAGTTTCAGATATCATTCATTGTATCAGGATCCACTTGAGCAGCACGAGGATGAACACAAATCAAGATGTAATATGTAATAATATCCTGCAAACCTGGAAGAGTTGCGTATATTTCAGAACCAAAAGCGATCCCAGGCCTTTGCTTCAGGTCTGAACTGCAGCAGAAATGATTATTCTCTAACCATTACCTGCTGTTTTAACTCGATTCAAGCAGCTCGACAATAAAACCAGCAGATGTTGACATTTAGGCTGCTGGAGCCAGATTCCTTCCGTCTTCCACGAAAAGCACATTAAATATTTTTGCGAACAGGAAGACAATTTAAGACGGAGGAGCGTTTTATGGGCTCTTTTTTTTTGCTGCCTGCTGACTTTCTAGAAACGATTTTCAGGAGTAAAAAGAAAGTGGGTCCGCATGCAGATAAAACACTCACAGAACGTCCCAGTTGAACCTAAAGTGCAGAAGTGCTCTGCTTATCTCCTGCTTCTGGACATCATTGTCATGTGAGCACAAATAAATGTAACCTCAGAAATGTAACATCCAGCTGATGTAATCTGGGTCAAATCTGCGATTTTATCAAACGGAGCACATCTAAAGTCAACCACGCCACGTTCCTTTTAATTGTTGCACTTTTTAGGGGTCTGTAAGTACATTGTCCCCTTTTGTTAATGTTCTTTTTCCTTTGCGAACCACACAAGAAAATATTTGCTCTGTGACATCCGGCTGGGATAGATAAAGTCCACAAGACTTCTTAGAAATACACTCCATCCAAAATTCCCGGGACGAGGCTGAGATTCCTCCCTCTGAGGTCAGGAGGCTTTTATGAATATCGCTCCACATCTGAGCTTCGATCCACTATGTTATACGTCTACAGGCAAAATGTTTTAAATATACAATCAACAGGAGCCTTCATTTATAACAAAGAACATTATTTAGTGAAAAATGCAGTAAAGATAATGAATATCTATGAATAAAAGCATAAAACCAGCAGGAATAAATCCCCTTTATCTTGATACAGTGTCAATAATAGTGGCTGTCTGCAATAAGAGACTGAATATCCTCGATTACCAAGGAGGGAATGTCAGGAGAGATAAAATGAGCACTTAGTCCTAAATCAATGGGTCACACGTGTTAATACATAAACCATGATCCAATAAAATCCACAAAGTGCCACATATTACAGCGCAGACTGCATGTTCTGGGGCCTAACAGGTCAACTCTCCAGGCCGCCTTTCAGGCTCCTGTTCCAACAACAACCTGTTTTCGCGAATGCAATTTGCTCTGAAGCTCCGCGAAAAGCTCCAGCCGTATTTTTCCAAACAGGATCGAGGGAAATCTATATAACTGGAAATAGCCTGAGCGCATTCCTATTATCTTTAATGTCGAGGCGGTGAATTCCCAGAATGAGGGCTCTGTCAGGGCCGCCTGGCGGGGCGGGGCGGAGCCAGGCCCCGCAATCATTCCTGGAAAGCCGGTAGGCAGAAGCCGCCGCGCGGTTCCTGGGAGCGACACGCGCGCCAGCGGAGAGCGCGGAGCCGCGCGAGACACCAGGAAGAGGACAGGAGGGAGGCGAACAGAGAGGCGCGGATGGGTATGGCAAGCCGTTTAACATGAATTCGGTTTCCTCTGTCCGCGATTGACATGAAGATACCCGATAAACAAACACTGCTATTGTAACAGAAGTAAAGTAATGTGTTTTTTCCTGTCTCTTTTGCCTCATCAGCCAAACACTGAGGCAAACAGTCCTACATCAGGTCTGCTATTAACCACCAGTCACCTTCTGCAGGACGTGCGGAAATTGCGTCACAGTTTCAATCAACCGGAAATGAGGTCGGCTGCAGGCCTTGGTCCATTTCTTGCATTATTTCAGACTCAGTTTGGAAATTTGATAGATTATATTTCACCCTCTATTCACTCTGGATAACGACGGTCGGGATTGCACTTTCCCCACTGACAGCGTTGGACCAAGACGTCCAATTATTTTCCTTTAAAATCTGTCAAACTGCCACGTGTTTGAGGTTCAGTTCCTCCAGATAAGGGGCGTGTCCTTCAGGACAAACTGCGACCACTGATTGGTCAGTTGCTATCAAAAGCCCCCTAAATGACGAGCCAGCGTCATGTCAACTACATTCTAGGTGTCCAAAGATTTTGACTAAATCCCGAACTGTCATGTATAATATCTGCAGGTACATTCTGATCTGACTGGTAATAATAATAATTCACGATATCTTCAATTACATTTTGACGAGTCAAAATTCCTTTCAAGATATCTCAAGTAATGACACAACTAATGCATCTAAAACCTGATGATCAATTATATATTTTTTCCTTTACTTCCAAGTTGTTATATTTTTATATTTATTGAGATATACTTATTATTATTATTATTATTATTATTATTATTATTATTATTATTATTATTATTATTATTATTCAGTTATATGAACGAGAGTTGCTTTCTTCTTCTATCTACAGTGAGGATAATATCTGCAACCAGGATGTCTGGTTCCAGGCCGAACTTGTGTCAAAACGGCCTGCCATAAATCCTGCGCCTTCCACAGAACCGCGCGCACGTCGTGACGCGGGAGCGGCAAGCGAACGGGAGCGGCGAACGCGGCAGACGCGGTGACGTCAGAACTCCTGTGAGGAGTTCTAAGAATCGACTTCTAGGAAACGTAAATTTTAAAAGCCGAGCCTTTAGCCTCGGTCCGTCACACGTTTGGATCTCAGGCTGGCGACAACACGTTCCGAACCGCCGCCGCTGCCGAACCGGAGCTTTTTCAGACAAAAAGTCGCCTCACATTGTTTTAATAGAAAGAAATATTTCCGCACCGGGGAAGTGGCTTTTTTTTTTTTTTTTTTTTTGTCTTTCTCGTTCATGACAGCAACATATCCTGGTCGGGTTCGTGTTCTCCTTTCCACCCAGAACCGAACCTACAGGTCTGATTTGTTTTTTGTTTTTTGGTCCTGATCGGAAGGCAGCGGCGCTCTGCAGACAGAACCTCTCTGCTTTTGGTTGCGTCCGGTTCCTGAGTCCAAACAACGCGTCGCACTTTCACCCCGGAGGATTTTATAGCATGATTCTTTGTGAACGAGGGTGAGCGCACTTTTCTTTGTTTTCGCTGTTTTTACGTCAGTGCGCATATCTGAGCACAAATCTGTTGGTTTAGCCGCAGTAAAATATTTTTAGGGTTAAATTGGATGCCAAGTTTATTAGAAAGGCGCAATTAATACAAATAAATAACTTAAAGAAATAACAGTTGGATATATCTTATTTTAAAATGTAATTATATATATATATATATATATATATATATATATATATATATATATATATATATATATATATATATATATATATATATATATATGTGTGTGTGTGTGTGTGTTAATTTGATATTTGAAGACAAAAAAATGCCGTGTCAAAGCAGCAAAATTGTAAATTTTATATAAAAAAGGAACCCTGCATATTAATAAATATGAACCGTATTTTCCTTCAAGATGAATGTGTCTAGTACACAGTTGTCTAAATTTAACATGCCTTCTAATTAACACAAATACAGACGTTGAAAGAAAACATTTCTCTCTCGCCACACGGCGCCGTAAAACCAAAATGATCTGGGAACAAAAGGTCAAAATGTGGCCCTTAATGAAAGCCTGGAAGTGTAGCGCCTGGTTTATTTATGGAGGGGTTTGTCTGTGCCAGTTATAATCATTTTCCCGTGGTTTGTTTCTTTCCCCCCCAGACCCACGTCTCTTCTCCCTGCTGCTCCATCCTCTCAGGCCCCGTGGGGCATGCGGGAGGGAACAGCCGCCATTGCCCCGTGCTTTCAGAGCAAACCCCCAAAATGGGACCCCACCAAGGACCTGCAGGCCATCGCCAGCAACTTCTGCTACCTAGAAAATTCAGGTAAAATCTTCCAGTCATAAGATGAATGTTTTTGTTTGGCTCATCATTACTGCAAATTCAGCTGGATGATAAATTGTACCTATATTTACTGGGATAAAGCATAATATTGCTGTTTCAAGGCAGTTTTCAAGTAATGTATTGATAATTGCACTGTAATGGAATACCTTTTAATTTAGTAAACTGGAAGATAATAAAAATATTCAAAATTAATAAATTTAAAAAAAAAACACCAATATGAGAATTAGCCTGTCTGGCTAAATCTGCAATGTTTACATGATGTATTTGCATTGTTCACTTTGTGACAAACAATCTTGATTCAAGTGAAACCATCAATAAAATGGGTTGTATCTTTTTCTGTAAACAAAATATCAATTAGAATCAGAGTTCCTGTCAATGCCATAAAGCGCAATAACGTTTAAAAGTAGCAACTCTAAAGGAAACACAACAACTGGGATGTTAAAAACAAATTAATCATCAGAATGTAAATTATTGAGTTTTTAATTATGTGACTAATTGATGACAGGCTGAGCTGTAGTTTGCTTTATGTTCATTTTAATAGTTTTCTTGTTTCGTTTATCTTTCTGTGCAGTAAACACATGTAAAATCTGTGAAATTGTCATTTAACCCACTGTTTGGTGGATTTTCTCCAGTGTTTATCAGAGCAGAACTGTTCTGTCAGGTCCATAATGTGATGGTGTGTGTGCAGGTTGGTACTGGGGAGCCATCACTGCAGCCCAGGCCCACGCCGCCCTGCAGGACACCCCGGAGGGAGCCTTCCTGGTGCGGGACAGCAGCCACCCTCTGTACATGCTGACCCTGTCGGTCAGGACGGCGCGCGGACCCACCAGCATCCGGATCCAGTACAGCAGCGCCCAGTTCCTGCTGGACTCCAGCTCCGGGGCGCGGGCCAGCCTCTCGTCCTTCCCCAACGTCCCCAGCTTGGTGCAGCACTACATGGGGGCGGAGCGGAAAGCGGAGGAGCGGAGGGCGGAGGAGCAGGCGGCGCCGGCGAAACCCTCCGAGCCGTCGGCCCAGGAGGCGTCAGTGGTGCTGAAGCTGAAGCGGGCCGTGTACAAACCTCAGAACCTCCCGACTCTGCAGCACCTGACACGCCTCGTCATCAACAAACACAGCGCCGGCGTGGAGCAGCTGCCGCTCCCCAAGCCGCTGCTGCGTTTCCTGCAGGACTACCCCTTCAAGGTGTGAGCAGGAGCGGCGCTGAACTGACCCGATTTACGCTAGAGGAGGAGACTCTGAGCAGCAGGTAGTTCGGACCTGCGGAGGCCAGTCACAGAGACGTTCTGACGTGTCTGGCTTCGGACTTCAACCCTCCTGTGGAGAGCAGGAGGTCGGTACTGTAGGCTCCTCAGACATGGACGTCTGGATGTACATACTGGTTAAGAAATGACACTGATTTCACTGAGACGTCTTTCATGCCATTTTATTTTTCTCAGCAAAAGCATTTTTGTACTTTTTACATGTGTAAATTTTTTTCTATTAAAACTGGAACTTACAATTTCTGTGCCGCTTAAAATCCAGTCATTTCAACAACTCCGCACCACTAACAATCACATGCTGCCGGCTCTTGTGACGCTCGTCGTTGTGAAATGTTTTCACCACATAAAACCTTTGAGACACAAAGGCTTTGTGCGGCCTTTGAGCTTGAATTCGGATGGCGTTTTCAGTGTTTTTTTTTTGCTCAACAATGCAATCTGCTCAGCATCTGAGTCAGCGGTGTGGACGAGCGAAAGGGAAGGACGCTCATCAGCGGATTCACAGAACTGCTGAATGCTTCCTGGGAGGAGAGAGGCGGATTCTGAGAGGGAGCGTTCTAAGAAAAGCTTTGGTAATTACCTTCAGCTCTGAGCCTGCTTTGTGCCTGTCGCACATACACTTTTCTCATTTTTGTTTTTTTATTGCGAGATGGGGCGTGTTCGCTGACTGTCCACGGGTTAAAAGTGCAGCGCTGATATGGAAACTATTTGTGTGAAATTGTTCATTTCGAGGAGATGGGGTCAGGTGTGGGGGGGGGGCGAGCCGAGCCGAGCCGAGGCGACCTGAGCCAAAGCCAGCGTAATAGGATCTGGGTTTCTCAATCCTGATCCACCTTGGGGGCCTTATGTGACTCCTCTTTCTGGAGGATGCAGAAACGAGGCCTAGGAAGCGAAAACACACCAAATGCAAAGATTTAGATCACACAACTCCCACACAAATACTTTGAATTTGTGTTTATCTTGCTGAAGCACTGACTTGCCGCTGACGTCTCGCCGTGTTTCCACGAACCGCAGCTCCTCCACGTTGTCCTCCACCCAGCGGCGAATGAGCGCCGGGTGTCTGGGGTCCACCTCCAAGTAAACCCGGCTGTTTGTCAAAGGGAGGATTGAGATGAAAAAGGCTTAAAATCAAATTAACACAACAGGATTACAGGTGGTGGGTGACCTTGATGGAGGCAGCGTCTGCCTGGAACCGGGTTCAGGGGACGCCTCGCAGAAAACTCGTTAAACACGCAACATGATACGTGTGTTTTTCAGTTCTGCGTCAAGGTGCCATTAGGAATTAAACCCAGTGTGTGTGTGTGTGTGTGTGTGTGTGTGTGTGTGTTGGCTGCCTTACCCTCTGTGTGACAGAAAGTCTGGCGCCAGAGTTAAAATCTGTCTGATCACATTTAGTCCATCTTCACCTCCATCTAACGCGCCGCGATCCTCGAACCTGGAAAACATCGAGGTTATTAAAACTGAAACATTTTCAGATAAACGGGGGGAAAAAAAACTATAAGTACCTGGAGCAATGTCGTCCTTTTATTAAAGTAAAAAATTAATTTATTTCCAATTCATCTGAAATAGATTTTTTTATTTTCTACACACAAGCAGTTTACGTTTGCTTTCATCAAAATGCGGCACGTCGAATTCATCGTAGCGGCAACTACGCTAGTGCGCAAAAGTTGGGAGAAAACGGCCGTCAATTAGAAAATATATTCAATTATCGCTGGACAACTATTAATTCTATTCAGTATTAATTTCCCAATTGATGTAATCATGATACAATACTTTTTGAAAAAACTAATTTAAACTAACAGAAAAATTTACTATAATAAAAAACTCAAAACTATAATCATAAGAAAACAAGTCTGCTTTATTAATGCAGCTTTTTCATTTCTGAAAGTATTTAATATTCAGATTTTATCATTCTGTTGGTTAAAGGGAACAAAAAACAACAGTTTAGCCCAAAACATGTCTCGGCGTTGCCAGATTTCGGCTTAAAGTAATCTTTTAATTCCACCAACATGTTTCGTCTGGCTGGACGGAAATCAGCCAAAATGCTGAGAACCAGAGAAAAGATGAAACTCTTTGGTCAGGAATTAAAATAAAACATAGATGAGTTTAGCTTTTTAATTGTTTAATTAAACAAATCAGAAACAAACGTCTTGGTTGAATGAATTCAGTGCAGTTAATTTTGAATTTTACTGCAGTTTTGATTCACAAAGCTGAGCAGAAGCAGCGTTTAATTACGTGCAGCTTTTCATCTTTTTCATTCATCCATTTTTTTCAGCAAATACTTTTTTTTCTGAGACTTTATACTCTGTTAATGATTAATTGATTACTGAACTAGCAGGCGGTTATTTCAATGATCGATTAATCGTTTCAGTCCTGAAAGTAAGAAGTAAAAATAAATCCCAACTGGAGTTTGCTATCAGCCCTGCAGAACTACAGGTCAGAATTTAAACCCGTAATGCTGCCCCGAAGTTAAAAACGCTTCAAAATGTCTCATTTATCCATTTCTGAACAAGTTCTAAGTCAGAAACTCAACGCACTGATAGGAAAATAACTTTTAACTCGAGCTGCAATCTGGAAAATCAAAGTTCAAACACAAAATGTATAAATCAATGATTGTTTTACCTTTTAAATAATAAGTCTGGAAACTCAAACATGATCCCTTACTTGCATTTTTACCCAAGTTATCCTGAAATTTAAAATAATCAAGGCTAGTTTTTTCCTGACTTCACCAGTTTCTGCTTGAGCAGAAAATCTGCTGGTAAATTGTGGATGATGAAACTGCTCTCTGTCTGTTGGTGCACGTTGCTTAGTTTTGGCTGGACAGTTGAATTTTTTCATCGATTTGACTGATAACATAATATTTAAGCATATTTAATGTTTAGTCTATAATTTAGAGGGCCACATAAAAAGCTATGGCGGGTCGGATTTGGCCCACGGGCCTCGAGTTTGACACGTGATCTATGTGTTTTGTTTTATGTCAGATGAATTTCCAGAGAGCAGCGACGTCAACCTGTGAGACGCTTCAGTTACAAATGTAGAGATTTGTTTGTAGGTCACCTAGAAATCTCCGGCTCCAGCGTTGCCATGTCCTCTGAAAACAGGTAAGGAGGGTTACTGACCAGCACCGATATGGAGCTAAACAGACCTGGCATCTTTTCTGCATCTGGAAAAAAAAACCCACAGCAACAGAGAGCAGGACAGGATAAGTCTGGTTAATTAGAGAAACACACAGCATTTTGTCTCAGTCAGTGTTTTTATACCTTTTATCACATCCATATGATAAACCTTTAGTCTGTCCTGAAGGCCCAACCTGCAGAAGAAACAGCAGCAACACTAAAAAAAAAAGAAATCATAAAAAGAGTAACTTCCAACCTCTGGGACAGTCAGTTTGTTTACTATGGCGCAATTACCTCGACGCATTCTCCCGGCTTAAATCAACCGCATCCTGGCTTCGCTCCAGGGCAAAGGCTTGGAGCTGCAGGAGGAGAAACCAACAAAAACTTTCTGTCCTCAGGACGGATTTCTCATAACCTGCTGCTGCCTCACATTTTCAAACACAAAAGCATTAAAAGCATTTCCCCCCCATCATATGTACCGCCAGCAAACGGTTGTTTTTATTTGATCAACACGCGTCTCCGTGCTTTGCATTTATTAACCGACATGAAAACGACTCTTCTCATGGCAGTCGGTGCGAAGCACAGAGGCAGCTCTGTTCTTCAGCAAACGGAGCTGAAATGAAAGCTTTTGTTGGGAACACGGCGTCTGGAGCTGCAGGCTCAACCTCAAACACGACGACACACACCCAGCTGATCCGACAGGTTTCAACAAGGAAGTGGAACGACACAGAAAAACGTGACTTCTTAACTCGTCCTTCGAGAGCCTCGGCTGAACCCACACATTAGCATTCCAGTAACACCCTAATAATGTGAGGAAAAGGTGATAAAATACGTCATTAGCTGCTCAACAGATTAGATTTATCCCTTTAATTCTATTAATTCCTAATAGAAATATTGGCTCCAGAATCAAAAAAGGATATTTTCTCCTCTAGTTATGGTTATTTGATGTTGTGAAGGGTTTTCTCAAAGCATAAACTGTTTTGTTTTAAAGGATTTATCTGTTTGAATCAACTACATTCCTGATGTTTTTTCTCAAATTTCTCAGATGTTTGCTTTAAAACAAGCAGCCAGAATCAAACTAAACGTAATGATTACTGTTAAATCATCTGCATTGACTGTCTGTGCAGATTACACACAAACAGGATTAGTTGTTTTATTGCACTACTGAGGAAGTATTTTATTCAGAAAGAGATAAAATGATGCGACTCAGCAGTTTTGGGTCTATTAGTCCTAAAATAAACACTGAATGATCCTTTTCTCTATTACTTATGATGAATTGTACACTGTAGCTTATGAAAGGCTCTTTATACGATTATTAACTACATTTTCCAGATTAGGAATGAATCATGTAAGATTGCAGAGCTCAGTTTTTTTCCACAGTTTCCTAGAAGTCTGCTTGTTACGGAGAACAAAGAAAAACTGAGCTGTGACCAGCGGTACAAAAACAATCCAGGATTATTCTTGTTCTCTTCTTAGTAAAATAACACACTGTTCCTGCTTTTCAAATGTTTATTTTATTAGAGGTCTGTCTAATTTTCATCCCTAAAATTAGACAGACCTCCACTTCTTCATCTACATTTCTCTTGGTTTATTTATTTTAACAGGACTTTTCATTTTTCTTACAAGGACTCTCAGGCGTTTTCCACGATAAAATATGCATGCTCTTGGTTTTCTTGCACACTCAACATAAATATTTTAGTTTGCATTTTGCTCCTGCTGTTCAACAGTGTTGTTATAAATGAATATGAGTGCAGGAACCTTCAGTAACCAGGAATGTTTTCTTCTTTTGTGAAAGCGTCCCGGAGAAGCGGCGCTAACTGTTTCACTTTCTGACCGTGAGCTGACTTCTAAATATTTAGCTACAAGTGTCAGCTTACAGACAGAGCATTTAATATGCCAAGGGAGTGTTAGGGAACATTTTCCAACCACATGTGCCAGCTATGCTATAAAGCTATGCCGAAAAGACACAATAAATTCCTGCAATTTCTTCTACAGAGCTGCATCTGGTAATATTTCCTCCACTCAGTCTGAAGCGATGAGTCCTGGTGGAGATGCTGCTGCAGCAGAGAGGCAGTGAAATGAAAAGCCAGAAATCCTTTCTCTGAATTTCCTGGCGATTCATCCGCAGCTTGTTCCTGTGTTTCAAAAAGGCCTCTGAACGAACCGATTATGCAATTCCGAAATGTGCAGCCAGCAGCTTTTAGGAATATGACGCATGACGGCGAGGCTAACAAGCTGCTTCTTATTATAACCACAAAGCTCACCTGAGGGAGGCTCTTCAGCAGGCTGAGAGAAATGGCACCAGAACCGCAACCCACTTCCAAACACGTTGGCCCAGGATGATTCTGCAGATCTGTGAGCACCAGTTCAACCAACTCCTGCACCAAACGAAACACAGATAAACCTGATTAAAATTTTTATGAAAATAAACATGAAGAGCCCACTGCACTGAACCCCTTTGAAAACCTCGTGGCTGATCCACGAAATGTTGATTTCTGAGTTAAAACATTAGTTTTAAGACCAACACAAGGTGAAGTACAATTGTGAAGCAGAAAGAAAGTCAACCATGATTAAAACAAAATAAATTTTACAATTAAAAAACCTGAAAGGTGCGGTGTGCGCAAGTCCAATAAAATATATTTATGTATTTATGTAAAGTGACAAAATATGGAGACGCTAAAGCGGTATGAATACTTTTGCAAGCCACTGTCCATATCTGCTCCCTATAATCGATTACTTCTGTTAATTAATGTTTTACTATGAATGTTGCTACTAGTTTTTGTATGTCTCAACATGTCCAAAGGTTTCATGTCTGTAAAAATAAAGTTGATGATAAATGAAGAGGTGTGTTCCAGCGTGAAGACTTTTTTTTTGTCGTCACTCACCTCGGTTTCAGGCCTGGGTATGAAAACAGGAGGCCTCATCTTCAACGTCAGGTCTCTGAAGTCCCACTCCTCAATGATGAACTGCACCGGCATTCTGCACATCACAAACCCAAGCCTCCTGCAGAAAACCATCACTTGTGATTTCACACATAGAGATTTCAACAAGGCTCTCACCTGGAGAGACGTTTGGAGCAGAGCCGCCACACCTGCTGCGTTTCCTCTTTGCTGAGGAACTCTGCTAACCTCTGGTGCTCGACACTTTCTATCTGGAAACGGATCAGGAAGAGATGCTATCGCTGTCCTGGAAGGATTACATAGGAAACAGAGGAAAGAGTGACTCACTGTTTTTGCTCCAAGCAGATGAGCGATGATGTACTGGCTTGACTGTTCAGGCTCCGTCACTCCGTTCTCCACAAAGTGCCGCTTCCAAACATCCAGAGCCTGAAGCGCCGTGATCCGGCCCGCAGGAAAGGCCGGAGCGCTGCATGAGGGTCTGGTAAGGCAAATCTGAAAAAGGAGTTTTATCAGTGAAAAAATTAAATACATCGAGATCTCCAATGTAGGTGGTACATTTACAAATACTGAGCTTAAATTTGTATCATTATATTTTGTGGAACTATTGATGAAAGTGACAATAATAACTATTTATTGATTTGTTTTTTAGGTAGCTTTATGAATATCACAAAGACAGCTCTTGGAAAAAAATATTCACATTAAGAAGTGTGATTAGCACCACTAAACTGCACATAGTAACTGCTTAAATCATATTTTCAGATTTATTGATATTTATTGATACTCTTGTTGAACAAAGTGAAAAACATAGCAAAACTAAAAGTACTGATTTTTTTTCAAACATCATTTGTAACAGTAAATCAAAATTCTCACGATAAGAAATATATTACAAAAAATAATAAATGATACAATAAATGCCAAAACCTACTTACAAATGCAAAAATCATGAAAAAAAATAGCTTAATAAAATTACTAAAATATGGGTAGAAAAGCTGATACATCTTAATTTTGGATAAAGCTGAAAACTGATTGTTTGATGATGTTTTCATTTAAAAGCATCACCAGCACATAAAACGAGGAGAAATGAGCCAAAGCAGAGTGAAAACCTAGAACAGATAAAAATACTGTGGTGGTTTTTGATCCATATTGGAATGAAGACAAAAACTGAATGCTACATACATTTATTTCTAACATTTTACTGTTTGTAATGCAATTCTTTGGTTGTCTATTGTTGTCATTCTAACTGGCATTTTGCTAAAGGAAAATAAAAGTGTTTACTTCTATCCACTCCTTTTCAGATTGATTAATAACAAACAGAGGGGATTGTTTTTGCTGACTCTGCTTTGTTGTCTTTCCATCTGATTGTTTTTGCTTTTGTGAAAGGTCTGAAATAAACCCTAGACCCGAAGGTGAACCTCCACCTCGTTTTCCAAGGGTTCTTGCAGGGTTCACCATTTTCGACCTCCCGGTTTCTCTGTTCTTGGTAAAGAAAAGCATCTCCACAACACGAGGCAGCCACAACCCCATTTCAGAGAAGGGATTGTGTGCACTAGATGTGCAGCAGAGTAGAGTACTGTTTTGTAACCAGATGAGCTGCTTCATATGATCCGTCAGGGTTTATCATCTTATGACTGATAAGTATAGATGAAAGTGACGTGCTTAACCACATATAGTTGCAAATATCCGTTTTATTTTTCATCTGGATCAGTCTTGCCATGGTGTTCACTCTCATTTCAGAAGTCAAGAGCACACCAAGTTAAATAAATCCTCCTTCAAAATACAGAATAATAATGTTTTCATCATGTACATTTGACTTTGTGTGATTTTAGCCATTTTAACTGAAAATAAACCTAATTTATTATATTTCCCAGGCATCTTACAATGCCTTTTCTTTATGTCTTACATTACTTGACTTCTCCAGGATTGCTAAAAGTGATGTGAAATATCCAAACATGAACCTTTTATTAGGAAGTAAGATCTTCTCTCTGTATCATATAATTAGGGTATTGTCATTTTTCTTCATAGAAAAGCAACCAGCTGCACATTATTATTTACACAAGAAACGCTCATAATAAAAGGATTTTGTATGTTTATATAATATTCTGCCTGAGTTGGTTGCCTGGCTACATAAACTATAAAAAGAACAGATTGATTGTGCCTCTTGTTTTAGAGTCATTCACAGTGACGTGCTAAAACACATTCATTTGTCTGCTGCTTTGTTCACAGTATGTTCAGCTGAACAGTTTACGCAGCAAACACGGAATTACCTTTGCCCCACTGCGCCTGCGTCCCAAATAGCATCGGCGGTAGCTAATAGCATTCGAGCTAAGGGTCCGTCTCCACCACATGGTAAATAGAAAAGCGTCTAGATCTTCCTTCTTCGGTTATCAGTTTTCATTCCGCTCTTAAAGCGAAAACACGAAAACAAGATAACCGATTATAGCTCTGAAAAACATTTATAAACCCATAAAATACTAGGACAGTTACAAAAATTGATAGCACGTTTGTTGTGCGTCCTACGTATGTAGTAAACACCACTTACGTCCCTATGAGGCAAAAACGTCTGTACCCTACATAGGACGGAGCGGCGCTCCCTTTAAAGACTGTGGTAAATCTAACTTTTAACAAATTGTTGTCTTGTAGTTGGGTGTCAAGTAGATTCGAAAACTTTAAAAAATGTATCTACACTCTTATATAACATAATTTTAGTGTGAAACATATTAAAAAAATCCAAATGTTAGCTTACAAATTAGTAACTTAAAGGGGACATTTCCATCCTAGTGGAGGACAGAGTGGGACCTCAGACATTCAAAAACCCTAAAAGCAAATATTACACAGTTCAACGACCAAAATATTTACTTTTACTGTAACCAATTTTAGTCTTCACGTGTTCCTGTTTTCTTGATTAGAGTGTTTAAAAGGATAAATTCCGTGGAGACCCTGAACGCATCAGTGTTGTCTCGTCACTTTGGACAGTTTGCTGAACAATTTGCAGCGTTTTTAGATGGTTTAAACAACAAAGCGACGTCACTTATCTCTATTTCACTTCAATATCACTGTTGTTTATATGTCGTACAACTTTGTGGCTGTTTGTAGTTTGTTTAGAAGAACTCAGCTTCTCGTTTTTAACGCTACAGCTAGCAGCTAGCATAACACACAGGGGGAGGATCCAGTAATCTTCATTTCAGTTTAACAGGTGAACAGTGAAAGGTCCCTGTTGAACATGACAACTCGAATAGAGTGCATATTCTTCAGTGAGTTTCACCCCACTCTGGGTCCAAAGATAACGTATCAGGTAAGCCTGTTCAAGAGAGCTAATATACCTCAACTTTTAGATGCATCATTCCTGAGTCAAATGAGTTACTAATTATCAGGCCTCTGCAGAGCTAAATTACGTACTTATTGCAGGTGTCGGAGAAGGGATGCATTTAAAAGTTGTCGAATAGTAGTTCTAGATTTTGACAAGCCAGACTATTTGTTGCTGCCTTAAAATAGTTTAATGTTAACTACTCCTCTTGAAATGCTTCTTTTTTCAGATATCCTCCTTTACAGGTTTTTTGTATATTCTCTACAGAGTTGCATGTGAAATCACATCAATTGTTGGGAAAGTGTACCAGCTCAGACTGAATTGGCTAGATTTCATTTTCAAATACCTTTAATGGTCTTATCAGTGATGATAGTGCACAGAAACCAGTCATTTGGAAAAATAAGCAAACAGAAATCTTGACAAATTTGTACCAGTTTATATTCTACACTTTTTATCTCATCTCCATTCATAGGACCGTCGATTGGTTCAAAGACATAAGGTTGATGCTCCTTTAACTCGTATTCTGTTAGCATCTTTGAGAATATGTCATAAAACTGCTTAATGTCTCATCTAAGCAAACAAAACAGAGGCTGAAAAACTAGTGGGAACTTTCCTGGAACAAGAAGGATTCTTCATAAAATTACAGACAACCCTATCCATCCTATTCATGAGACTGGTGAACCTCAACATAGTGTTTTCATTCAGAGGCTTTTTCAGAGCCACTGCAATGCATAATATGAGCTACAACAACATTTAAATTCCTTCTGGAAAGAATGAAGCATTTCTGAATTTGAATTTGTATTGCAAACTTTTTGCTGACACTAGATAATCAGACCAATTCTCTAAAGACAGTCAAAGCTCAAATAATTGACTTTTTATGCACTTTTTAAGTTTAAGTGGTCAGCGAACATCTGGAGAAAAATACTTCACTGTCTAGTACCGTAAAAACTGGAGTCAGGATCAAAGTTAATTTGTTTTTGATACATAAATGTAAATTTTGTTTTATTTGTTGTGATATTTTTTTGTTGTTTTTGTAGTTGTTTTTAAAGACTTGATCCCAAAATACTGATGGGTAAATTTATTTTTCTGTCCTTTTCTTGGCAGGTACCAGAGGAGTACATTTCACGGGAATTGTTCGACACGGTCCAAGTTTACATCATCACCAAGCCAGAGCTACAAAACAAATTAATTACAGTGTATGTCATCCAACACTGTCTTTTAAATGTTTTGGTTTGGTTCTGTTTCAATATAGCTATTTATTTTAGACATTTATTTTATTTATTTATTTTTTTAGCACTGCTATGGAGAAGAAGCTAATCGGCTGTCCAGTGTGCATCGAGCATAAAAAGTACAGCCGAAATGCTCTCCTCTTTAACCTGGGCTTTGTCTGTGATGCTCAGACCAACACATGCGCTCTTGAGCCAATTGTGAAAAAGCTGGCTGGGTACCTCACAACTCTGGAGGTAAAGAGTAAACCTTTACTATTACTATATCATGTTGTTACAGCTGTAATGGCTTCATATTTTTATAATAAAATGATTTGGTGATCGTATTAATATTTTCTCCTTGCTGTGTTGCAGTTGGAAAGTGGCTTTATTTCAAAGGAGGAGAGCAAGCAGAAACTTTTACCCATAATGTCGACATTGTTGGAAGATCTTAATGCTACAGGAGCCTGCACATTACCCATAGGTAATATTTAAATTTTTCCCATTTTGTATAGTGACAAATAGGCCTGTCACAATACACAATTAATCAATTAATCGTATGATAAATGAAAGCAAACTCAATCATTTACATTTGCTTGATTAAAAATTTTTCCAAAAAAAACTGGTCTTCAGTTTGGTGCTTTGGTCAACTAGCAGTTTTTTGAAGGACAATGTTGTTTTCAGAGACTTCATAATTAATTTTATGTGTTGATTTGTTTGTTTATTTTGGACATTTTAAATGTATTCCAGTTTCAGTGTTAAAAGTTCATTAGAATGTAAAGTTTATTGATCCTTGAGAATATGTTCTTGCATTATTATTACCATTATATAACTTGAAAATTGTCTCAAAACAACATTATTGTTTATCGCAGTAAGTTTTGGGACAAGTAATTGTCCAGCAAAATTTGTTATCATGAGAGGCACAGTGAGAAAGAAGCAACTTTCATTTAAATTGTGGTGAAAGTGGCTTTAAAAATAGATCTGTTGTTGCTACACTGTGAACCATCTCTATGGGGAATTTCCCAGCTGAAGGAAATCCTAAAACTGAACTGATCTCTCTCTAGACCTTAGTTCTCATGATCCAAACAACAATAAAATCTAATTTATTTATTCAACACATTTAAAAACAATTAACTTAGCCAAAGTTGGCAGCTGGTAAAGAGAAAAACAGCTCAGGTCCAAGAATGGAGCCCTGTGGTACACCCCAGGCCAGCGCAGCAGAGTTCAAGCTCAAACCACAGAAACTAAGACAAAAACATCTGCTAGTGCGGTTGGACTGAAACCAGTGATGCTGATCCATCGGCCCAGCGTCAGGATGAGAACGTTTTGATCAATAGTTTTGTAGGCCGCTGTTAAATTCAGTAAAACCAGGAGTTCAATATCACCAGAATCTGTTACTAAAAGATTTAAAACTCTCAGTAGATCAGAATCGGTGCTATGGAGAGATTTAATCCCAGATGGAAATTTTCTCTTGAGCTGGTTTTATTTGTTGTTTTTATTGGCCTGGCTACCTCTATAAAATATATTTTGTAAGAGTGACTATTTTGTTTAAGCCAAGTTTTCTTCAGCTAAGTTTTCACAGCAGCATGTTTACTGTGTGGAGGCACCACCTTGAAGTTAAGCTGCTGTTGATGATGGCAATAACCAAGAGTCCTGAGCTAGACAAAATAATTAATCCAGACGAGTTGATGCCGAATGGAGAACTCAAAGTTCTCCATTCAGCAATTTTTTAGAGATTAGTTTCTCTAAAAAAATTTAGATATCATGTCAAAATGGTCAAAAAGAAGTTGAACAAGGAAGTAAAACTGTTGGAATGAAATCACAAGAAATTAAATCTTGCAGCTTTGCAGATCTCTTTCTAAACACTCTGAAACTTTTAAAAGACAATGTTTGCCTCTGTTATTTTATTTTCTTCATGAAAATCTCCATTTTCTCAAACTGAAGATAAAATATGGCATTCATCTCACAGCCGTCCTATAAATGCCACTGAAATTAAAGCCTCTGAATCAATGCAGCTGTTTATCTTTACCATTTAGAACCTAATTTATATTGTAAAATATGTTTTGTTGCATTTGAACAGGATGGAAGAGGCTGGAGGAGTCTTACATGTTTAAAATTCAAAAAATAAATAAAAGCACAGTTGTTAATTGTCACATAGTAGTGCTTTGAATTGCACAAATGTGTGGAATCATTAGCTAATTTATTGCACAGTGATCATTGCATAAAGGCTAATCTGTATTGCTATACTATAGTAATATAGTATAGCAATATAATATTTCAATATTTATGAAATATGTGACTCAAGATTAATTTTATGACTCAGAACTGAAATTACGTGGAGAAAACTTCAAAGAAATTACATAAAATTTAATGTTTGCTTAACAAGCAATGATAGGTTGTAAAGTGTTTTGTGTTTGTCTTGTTTTAAGGGACTAATAACTTTTATTAGATCTTGAGACAATAACTTTTATAAGAGTAAACGTTTGCACCTTCCCCCTGCGTCTGCTCCAGGTGATGATAGCTTGGTGGTTTTATAACTTGTTTATAAAGTCTTCATAGTGATTATAATCTTGTTCTGCCTGTCAGTTTCCAGCTACTAAAGCTCTCATTTCATGTGTGAAACAATGATTTACAACTTCATGGCCACACGTGTAATTTGTTATGTAATACTTTAACTCTTTCAAATTTTAACACATTTTAACTGTTTTATTGGGATTTTATGTGGTAAATATACACAACGCAGCTTATAATTGTAGAATAGAATTAAATAGAAACATAGAAAATAGAAATTGTTGTTCCTCAAGGGAGCGTTGCGATGTCATGTTGAAACATGATGCACATAAAGATAAGTAATAATAAAAACATGCTATACTCCACAGTGAGGTCAAATGTACAAGGCAAGATGAGATGCACTGCTCTGAAAATAAACATACAGATACTCAAGAAACTAATTAAAAATACCAAGGTTGTGTTTTATATGTTTGAACAAAAAAAGATAAAGAGATGGAAAACTGTAAATAATAGCAGATTTACAAACAACTTTGATAATTATAGAGATGTTTGGTGGGAGGAAGGACATTCGATAATACTACTTTGTGCCCTTAGCATACAGAATATGTGACTTTGTTAAATAAAAATGTGAAAAATTATAAAAATTGTAACGAGGTATTGACCCTCGAGTCAATACCGTTAGTCTGGACTTTGACTGGACCTTTGAAACTTATGAATGTGCTTTGATATAACCCATTGCCTTGACTATCTTTTTTGTTGTTCTGCCAGAAGCTGGAGCTCTGCCAGATTTTCAAGTGTTATGAAAAGTATTTATTATTAAAACAAAAGCAGTCACTAAACCTGAGGTTATCTTGAGCCAAGTTGCACCATTGGCTGCATTTTGCAAATGTTTACTCTAATAAAGTGGCCTAGACTAAAGAATTACAATACAAATTGATTCTCACATGTTAGATTTGTGTTTAGAAATAAATGATAAACCATGCTTCATTTTCCTTTACAATTTGGCAAACCTGTCAGGTTTTTGCTTGTTTGTCAGATAAAGTTTGGGGTTGTGATGTGACAAAATGTGAAAACGTTTACTGAGCCACTTTACTTTGTGATACCAAGAGAAACAGAAACTGTCAAAATACAAAAGGGCACTTATTCTATTGCTTGTCATTATTGTAAAGTTTTATTTTATTATGATAATATTGTTAAAATAGTAAATGATAAAACCAAAAACGAAATTGTCAGGAATCAGGAAAGTTACTTTCACTATTTTCTTGATTCCTTGAGAACGCCAATAAATACTAATAGCCTTAAAAATATGAACAAATGTAAACTCGAGCTCTTCAGCGTCCATTTTGAAAACTCGTCTGAAAACCTTTTACTCATTTGCCTTTAATCCAATTGAGACTTGATTTTTATTTAACTTTATCAGTTTTACTGGGTCATTTTATTGTGTTTTGAATTGCGCGTTTAATTTATTGTGTGCTTAACTTTGTTACTTTATCCTCATGTTTTCTTATTTATCGCTGATGTTCAGCGCTTAGCTGCTCAGTTTACTGGGCCTCTTGACTGCTTAAAAGTAAACAGCATGGATTTAAACTGGATAAAACAGGAAAGAGCACATCACTAGTTTGGCTGGATTTCTGATATTTAAAGGAAAAATTTAATCAATAATTATTGATATCGACTGATATGAAACGCTTATATTGTGATATGTTTGTCAGCCATTTTGTCCAGCCCTACCTTTCACCCTGTCAGGTTTGGGTTTTTTTAAAGCTGGGTTTATGATTCAGAACATTAGTTAGACATATAATTGCATAACAGGGAAATAACTCCTTAATGAGGGTGAGGTTTGTAACTTTTTTCCCTTTTCTTTCTCTAGACGACTCCAACACCATCCAGCTAAAACTGATCCAGCAGCGGAGAGACCCCCCCACTGTCCAGGAGTACGACGTCCCCGTCTTCACCGAATCCAAAGAGCTTTTCATAAAGTCTCAGTGGGACCTCACCACTCAGCAGGCAGGATGAGCACTTTGTGGTTGCTAATATCAACATGTCATGCTCCAGATTTCCAAGAAGCAGTTGTTAAAAGATTATTGTGTAAAACTTTTTATCACGTTGGAAAAAAGTGATGACTTTTCCAAATTTTTCTTTGCTGGGAAACGAGCTTCTCTAATAGGAAGTCGGCTTTTTATTGATGCGGTTCAGTGTTATTACTGTAATAAAACAATATGCTCATGCTAATAGCAAACATAGTTTTGCATTCTTCAAACGAATGAGGCTGTGAAGCTCATTATCTGTTATGTTGTTTTATTTAGATTTTGCCTTACATCGATGGATTCAGGCACATTCAGAAAATCTCAGCCGAAGCAGACGTCGAGCTGAATCTTGTTCGTATCGCTGTGCAGAACCTGCTGTGAGTTCATTCCTGTCATTTATGAGTGGACCAGAAAATCTGTTGTAGTTCTTATAGATTTTGGTATTTTTAGTACGGTTTATTTGCTTTAAATTATACAGCTGTTTGTGTTGCTTTTTAAAGTCCTCGCGTCTTCTAGGACAAACAGTGAAAACTGATATATCTGCATCTATCTTGTCCTTCCAGGTATTATGGTGTTGTGACTTTGGTCTCCATATTCCAGGTACTGACCTAATTTTACAACATGTTGTTTAATGTTTTCCAATGTGGGCAGAATTGGTGTTGTGAAACTGTTCATGAAATAGCCCAAAGGCCAACCTCAAAATGTAAAATATTAGTACATAACAGAATTATTAGCTCACGCTAACAAGATTCTTGCTATTTCTAAGAATTTATAGAAAATATTGTTGGTTTTAGCAGTAATTGGTTTTTAGCATTTCCAGGCAAGGCCGTGTGAGGAAATTTTTATTTTTATTTTTAAAATCTTTATTGATGTTGTTGTCCAAGCATCCATTACAAATAATGCTTGCACAGAGATAAATAAATAATTTTAAAAAAGGGCCAAAAATTTAAATCTGTCTGGAAAAACATTGTTGTAGGAACGCCGTAATCAGACTGTTTTTAGGTTGACTATCTTGTTGACCTTCGCAGTACTCCAATGTCTACTGCACAACCCCAAAGGTTCAGAGCCTCGTTGATGACAAATCCCTTCAGGACGAATGCCTCAGCTACGTCTCCAAACAGGGTAAGGAAAACATCTGCTTGAAGATGACATTTTGATTGATTTTCAGAGGTTGATTGCAGCATTTTGGGTCATGATCAGGTCAGAAACGTGCCAGCCTCCGGGACGTGTTCCAGCTCTACTGCGGTCTCAGTCCTGGAACGACAGTGCGAGACCTTTGTTCTCGCTACGCGCAGCAACTTCAAAGGGTTGATGAGAGGTCAGCGTATCAGTTCCTGAAGTGACTCAGCTGCCCTGGAAATATCGGGTCAGAGTGACTCTTGTTTAACAAAGTGTGTGTTTTGTTTTACCCAGGAGGCTAATCCAGTTCGGACTGATGAAAAATCTCATCCGACGGCTTCAGAAGTATCCTGTGAAGGTGGTCCGGGATGAGAGAAGCAGACCGCCTCGTCTCTACACTGGCTGTCATAGTTATGATGAAATCTGCTGCAAAACAGGCAAGTTCAGCAGCTCTATTTAAACTCAGTTTTTGGGGGTTCTTTAACCTTGTACGCTTCAGTTATTCGTCACAGATTGGGCCATGTAGCTCATCCTAGTACTGACACCCATTTTGGTATTTTCTCAGACGAAAGGAACGCTGACACACTTCCTTGGTTTAAAAAATTCTTGCTAAAGTTCAGCACACTATTTATAGCTCAAATTACAGAAACATTGCACTGCAAAATATGCACTATATTCAGTCCATGACCAGTGAACTGTGACAGAAAGAATATTGAAAATATAATCTAAACTGAATGAAAATCTCAGTTATTAATAGTTTCCTGGTCTGTTAGGAGCCTAAAGAAAGAGGCTCCATGGCCTAATTCTGAGATCTAATGTTTAACTTTTTCCTAAGGCATGATGTATTTAAAGTCTTGGAGAAACACCTGTTTGTGTTAAGTACCAGAACCACAGCTAAAAAAAGATTTGATTGTCTCAGCGTTGTCTAAAAGACGGAACGGGACATTTCCTGCTTAAACAGCTGCTATTTGGCCAAAAATGTCTCTCAAAAACCAGAAGATTGTTGGTTCTGGTACAGTTCTTTTGGAAGGTATCAAAAAATAATAATTAATGTTTAAAGTTAAAACCAACCACAGACTATTTTAAATTCTGAATTAGATAAATAAAAATATTCTTGTCTCATTTCTGAACAGGTATCCATACAAATGTTTTTGACTACATAACCCATTGCAGTTATTTTTAACTGCTCGGGATGCTACTTGCTTAACATAAGATATTATTTTAACTCAACATGAAAGTCTCGTATGTATTTTGAAGTGTGTGCTGATTTTTAACAGGAATCAGTTACCAGGAGTTGGAAGAACGTTTGGAAAATGACCCTAATATCGTCATCTGCTGGAAGTGATGTTAAATGAAGCCATGTACCGAGAAGCCTCCACCAATACAGCCAAGAGCGAGACGCCTCAAAGATTGAGTTATGTTTTGTAAATGTCTTTGCTCTGTTTTTCATTCATTATTTATTTATATCATTAAAAGACTGTGACTAACTTTCGCCTGAGTCTGGTTATTAACTTCTCCTTGTTTTGTAAACAATAGTCTAGAAGAGGGCATAACTGGGGATTAACTAGAATATGTTAAAATTCAGTTTAAACTGTTTCCTACTCAGGTTTACTGTGTGTGTGTTTTAACTGTTACTGTGTAAACCAAAATATGGTTATTCCTGTATCATATCCTGCTTACATTGTGACAAAAAAGGTCTATATTTACTGTAAATGCCAGACAACATTAACCTTTGCAGCTACACAGAACCATTGGTACATGGCCTACAGACTTGGAAATACTGAGCAGGAAATGCTTACATTTACCTAACTGTTGGGATAACTTATTGCTGCGCAGAAATTAATTTTTTCTTCATACTGTAGAACAAGTTGGGTTGAATAAAAATAATGTCAAATACTGGGATATGCATTTAAAGTCTCCATTTGCATGAAATTTTGTGTCTTTGTTTTGAAACTCGTAGTGAAGCAAGTAACTGCACAATGTCTTTATAAGACTGAACAAAACAAAGTGTACCTTGATTTTTTATTTATTTTTACTTTTGTTTAGGTTTCACAGGCTGTAAAACTGAAAAATTGAATCAGTTGGTTGAAAAATCTTCTTCACCACACTCTTACGAAGTTTAGAAGCTTACATACAATCACTGATCGAAACTAAACTTTAAGTGTAAAGTGCCTGAAATATTGTATTAATTCTTTATTTTTATTTTGAAGTCATCTTGATCTTCAGTTATTCAGGCATATTCAGTTTTTATTTTTTTGGCTACTTTTTGAATAAATTTTTGTTGTTCTGTCTGACCATGACATCAAACTGTGTAGTTCAAACACATAAAGGAAATTAAAAGAAGGACAAAAATTATCTCAATGTTGGCTGCTGGAAAAATCTTGGTAAACTATAATAGCTTTGTGACGTACTTACAGACTGCACAAAAGAAATGGGAGCAAATAAAAACAAAAGTCAAAGTTTAGTGTTAAAACATTCAGAAAGTATGAAGAAAATGTTTTTTTTTATCATAATAAACCATTGCTTAACAAAAAACACTTCCTATTAAAATCTTTTTCCAATGCCGTCCTTTAAAATAACAATCTAATCAAGGTTTACTCAATAGTTTTAAGAAGGTTGAGCTATTTAAATAATATTAAGTAAATGCATGTGGAAAGCTCACTATTAGGGATTTGAACTTTGCCTTCCTTTCTGTACTCGGCTCTCAAATGATTGACTGTGATTGGCTGCAGTACAACTGAAGATGCCGTTGCCTAACAACGTACCAGCCAATCAAATCATTCGTTCCAGCTTGTGATTTACGTGATAATCTGGCGCCTCTTCGTGGCCAACACTGCAAACTGCACTTAGTTTACGGTTACCTTGACAACTACCTGTATCTCTTTCCCAGTTGCTGGTCACTTTCAAAGAAATTTACTGAAGTAACTGCAAAGGTTACATATTTACCGACGTTTTGCGGGATAATCAAAACTATTAAAATGGATACATCGGTAGTGCTGCCGGTTGAAGCTGAGGGGTTTATTCAAAGTCTGGAAATCTTTTCCCTCAAAGACGTGGGCTCTGTGAGGTAAGATCAGAAGCTAACGCTAGCACCAGCTAATGTAAGCTAACAGAAGAAGACGATAAAGATCAACAGAAAGATTATAACTGACATGAAAGGAAACAAATCTAGATTGTTCGTTCTCTTAAGTTGTACAAAAACATTTTTTAAAAACCTTTTCATCCTGACACTCCTTAATAAAAGCTGCAGAAAATCCCTTCAGATTTTTGTGTGATTAAATTCCGAGTGCTTTGTGAGCCAAACGCCATTTTGAAAGAAAGCGAATGGTTCTGATGACGTTCGGTGACGTGCCCTGAAAATCGAATGTTCAGTGTTCAAAAATGAACGTTCACTTAGCCATGGAATAAATAACATTTGGTCAACATTTATATCGTTTAGTCTTATGGTTTAACTGGGTTAATCTAGGTTTTTATGTATTTCATTTCTCTTTGAACATGCTTTTCAAGAACCATCCCAGCTGCTGCCAAGCTGGGAGAAATTCCTGAATGCTGAGTGAAGGCAGAGCTCAGTTACACTGGGAATACATTTTGCAATTATGGTGTGAAAAGCTGGAACTGATTACTTATGTATGGATTTGATCAAGAAAGGGTCTCACATTGCAGTTGTTTATAAAACCTCCTAATTTTTTTTCCTCAGGTGGTTCAGACAGCACGAGTTTATTGAAAAGCTAAACATGCAGGCCATTCTGAGCGCGTCAGCCATGCATGATGAGTTTGTCAAGGAGCTCCTGGTGTCCTTTGGAAAGGTGACCTCCAGGTCTTAAAATGCAAACATGACAATTTACAGCGATGTTATTCATAAATCCCTCTCTGCAGATACCAGTTCTGGTCCATGAGATGATCCTTGTGGAGGTGTGGAAGCAGAAAGTGTTTCCCATCTTATGCCAGCTGCAGGACTTCAACCCTAAGAGCACGTTTCATCTTTATATGCTGGCAAGTTAAAGATGTGCAGCATCTATAATCAGCTTCTCATGCTAGTTTGTTTATTTGTCTTTTTGTCTCTCTTAGATCCGCCATGAAGCTACAATTATTAACCTGCTTGAAACAATATTGTTTCATAAGGTCTGTAAATTCTTAAATATTTATAATACCTACATTCTCTGAAGTAAAAATGTATTTTATTGAGATTTTGTATGACAAACCAACACAAAAAGTGTGTAATGGTTAAAGTGGAAGAAAATGCATCTGTTTGGTTTTCATGTTTTTATAGAGAATAAAAATCTGAAAAGTTGGTTATTTGTATTCAGTCTCCCTGAATCACCTATTGTTGAAATTAATCTTTTTTTTTTTTTTTTTTACTTTTTATTTACTTTCCAATAACTGTTTTATACAAATATAAACACAGATCTATCTGTGTTTATATTTAACACAGATAGATCTGTGTTAAATATAAACACAGGCCTTCATTTTAGGAAATTACATTCTTAAAATGATTGTTTCAACCAGCTTTAAACATCTGTCTCCATTGTTCTTCATAAAATAGCTCAAGATGAATATTGCTATCAGTTGTTAACATAAATTTTAAGCTTTTCTCCTCAGATTCTTAATTGGATTTACGTTCTGACTTTGACTGGGCCATTCTACCTTCTCAATATATTGTAGAGTATTTCTACTATGGCTCTTTTTAGAGTTTATATTCTGTTGGAAGGTTATTTTTTGCAGCCTCCAACAGGTTTTCTTCTGGTATTGACCTGTATTAATGTCCAATTTTAGTCTGACCAGAGCATCTTCTGTTTTGGAATGGGGTGTGTGAATCCTTTAGGAAGTCAGTGTTTTGTATGTCTGCTTGTTCAGGATTCCTGTGAGGCAGCTGATGATTCTCTTCTTGACTTGGTGGATTATTGCCATCGTAAGCTGACCCTGCTGGCCAGCGAAGCAACCAAGTTCCATGCTGCTGCTGCCCATGATTATCAGACCCAGATATCTTCTCTAGAGGTAAAATTAGACGCTTCTCTCTGCATACTGTAGCTTTTTCCTCACTGCTGAACCTTTTGAAACAGAGGTAGAAGTTGCATGAATTTTATTTTCACCCAACCAAGGAGCTGCAGATGCAGAGTGCTGCACTGGAGTTTGAAATCTCCCTGAAAGCGATATCTGTGCTGAGTTACATCGCAGATCATACCGAGAGGTAGGAATCAATTTAAAGCTACTTGTTCGACCACAAACTCAATTTTTTTCAAAGTAAAATGAAAACTTTAAACATCTAACAGATGACGAGTGGGGTACAGAATACAAATACCATATTTTTCCTCCCAGCATCAGCGTCATCAATCGTATGCTTTGCACACACAACATGCCCTGTGTGCTGGTTCAGCTGGTCGAGTCCTGCCCCTGGAGTCGGAGCAGCAAAGGTAGATCACACCATCTGCAGCTCAGATGAGCAGAGAGATATCTATCTATCTCTTCCCTTTAAAAAATATTAATCATCAGAATAAAAATTATTGAGCTCATATTCATTGACCATTCGATTGTTTGACTCATTGGCAGATTGTGAATACTTTTGAAAGCCTCTACGTTCTCTCTGCTGCCCCCTGCAGGCCAAGTAGAAAAGTACATCAATGGCAAATGGCAGAGGATTTCTGCAGAGGACCATGTGAAGATGACTAAACTTGACGGCCAGGTCTGGCTGGCTCTTTACAATTTGATCCTGAAGGAGGAGTGCCAAAGAAAATACGACTTCAACAATTTCAACAAGAACCAACTTCTAAAGGTCTGCACTGAAACAAACACCGGATTTTTACCTGTTTCTTTTACGCTCAGGGCGTCGTCTGTCTAATTTTACGGGTTTGTTAAAAGTTGAGCTCATGGTTTGGAAGTATCACTGCTCCATGTTGTTGTTCATTACATCCTGTCTGATCTCCTTCTCTTGTAGAGCATAGGTTCATTCTCCAAAGGTTGTTTATCACTCAGTTTCCTCCTATTATAAGCTTCTCTTCCTGCAGCAGTAATTATATAACCAGAGAGCCTTGACTATCCTCTTGCAAGCACTTTTTTTCCTCCTGACTCCTGCTGTGCTGTTCACAGCTCAGGGGTTTCTTGACAGATGTGCTGATCGATCAGTTACCGAACTTGGTTGAGCTCCAGCGCTTTCTGGCCCATTTGGCTGTTTCAGACCCAGCCCCACCAAAGAAAGATCTGGTTCTGGAGCAGGTAGTCACTGTCACACACATGCACTCATCATCCCTACTGCTGCACGCTCATCCTCTGGATTTTATTTACGTTTAGATCCCAGAAATGTGGAGCCAGATTATCAGAAAAAATTCTGGGAAGTGGAAAGGAATAGCTAAATATCAGGTCAAAGAAACTTTCAGCCCGTCTGACAGCGACTTGCAGCAACAGGCCCAGAGGTAACGCTAAATAAAGACACTGTGAGGTCAAGGTGTGTACAGGAACAGCTCATGAGCCGCTGCTTTAAACATGTTTCGCCAAGGTTGGCGCAGACTTACAGCCTGGATGTGATGGAGCGTTTGCTCCCGGAGAAACCAAAGTGTGGATGCTGCGGGAAAGAGGCTCCAAAGAGATGCTCTGGATGCCAGGGAGAGTGGTACTGCAGCAGGTGAGACATGAGGGGAGACAGACCCCACATTCAAAGGGCCTGGCAATAATATTCACACACATTTTGTGGAAAAATACCACAAAATGTTGTTTTGTATTGAGCTTTTAAATCATGCAATCAGTCATGACACCATGACACATTTTGCTGGATGATAAATTGTTCCAGAAGTTTTTAGAATAAATTGTAATATTATTGTTTTGAGACCATTTTGAAGTAGTGTAATGGCGTAATAGTAGTAATAATAATTTAATTTCTAATGAACACTTAACACTAGAACTGGAAGACATTTTAAATATGCAAAATAAATAAAAAGGAAACAAATAGAATGAGCTATGAAGTCTCTAAACTAAACTAAAGTTGAGACCAAAGCACCAGACTGAAGACTTTTGTCATCCAATTTTTGGCAGAAAGACAGAAAAGAGAAAAATGATAAATCATACAAATGGAAATTATTGAGCTTGTTTTAATTTATCATGCGATTAACTGATTTATTGCAACAAACTTTGCAGTAATTCATAATAATTACGTTAGGCAAATTATATATGTGTTTCAAATTTCACAGAAATGAAATCCTGAATAATGTCAACCTCCCTTACTCCGATACCCCTAATTAAAACCCAACTGTTCCAGTTGTGTTTAATTTAGTTTGTCTCAGGGTAGTTGGATGCAGATGTATGCCACTCTATTTCTTTTTATTAGTAAATAAATGTTGGGTGTGATTTTGTGACTGGTGTGTTGTGTTTCTTCCCTACAGACAGTGTCAGGTGAAGCACTGGCCAAAACACAAGCAGGCCTGTCAGCTCATGACTGAGACCATGCAGAAGATCCAGGAAGACAAAAAGCTGGGATAATGTAACGGACTAAACGAGTAAACATTTCAAGCTAGGACACAAACCTGCTTTTAGTTTAATCACAACATTTATGTAACTTCAGATTTTTCTAGCATGAATCGCTCACATATCTTTAGATATAGAATTTAGTATTTTGGTTTTAAACGTGATGCAATAAAGTTTCAACTTGTTCGTTTTGTGCAGTTTTTATTTCTTAACTCTCTTACTCAAACGAGTGTGAAAGTGATGCTTTTGTGAAATAACTTCAAAAAACTTTCTAAACTTCCTTTAGGAGCCAAGACTTGTTGGCTCATCTTAAGTGGTCGTTTCCAATCTGATCTGCAGCAGCAGCAGCAGATCTGTGGAGGTCAGGGTTCAACCAGAGAAGAGAAGACAGACTCATAATTCAAGTGAAAATAAAGTTGTCTCCAATGTTTAACTTTTTCGTCAAGGTTTAACATCCAGAGCTGTGCAGAGCAACACCAACTTCAGCTGTGATCTCCACAGAAACAGAGACGCTCAGCCAGTCAGATCCACTTTTCTGTAAACAGCGGCTCTGCATCCCTGGATGATTACAGTCAATTTATATGTGAAGAACTGAGTCCAATATGGTGTGTTTCTGGATCAGAAACCCTTTATTTGACACGGCGTCAAATAAAGTGTTTTATAGTCTGTCTGGATGCTGCACTCTATAGAAGGACAACAGAATATCGCTCTTATAAACATGTAAAGACTAAAATCACAATACCCTCATTGTGTATCCCTCTGAAAAATGAACTGATACTCTGATGTCTCATTCTCCTGAAGGGAGCACAAAGCTGCACCTCCAGAAACTTTCACACACTGAAGAGATTTATGAATGCAGTTGCAGTTCTGTTCATGTTTTAATGTTGCAGAGCTCTGTAGTTTTGCAAATAGATCAAAGTTTAAACTGGAATTTTTGTACATCTTCTATCTGGTCATTCATTAGTCTTTACTCTCTGGTTGCTGAAATGTTTCTTTTTTTTGCAGTGGGTTTCATATTTGAACGTAGGCAAATGAGTAGCTGTCGAGCAGATCGCAGATAAACATAGTTTGCATTTTTTTTTTTTTTTTTTTTTTTTTTTTGCTTGTGGTTTTCAAGTTTTTTCTGCTGCCGGTGCAAACGAAACCTCGATCCGTCCCTGCAGAGGTTTGAGGGGTCGGGGACTTTGTCCGCCCACTCGGCTGCTGTTCTCCAGACGCAGCAGCATGAAGGCATTCCGGATGTCACTGCAGCTCAGTCTCATCTTTCACCCTCCGTCTTTCCACCCGCTTCCTCCCTCGGCGGCTCAGACCGGCTCTCAGTGATGTTCTGCCGAGGCTGCGCCCCGCGGTCGGCCGGCGATGGTCGCTGACGGTCGGCTGGTTTCCAGAGGGGGTCGCCGGGGGCAGAAACACCCCGGCCGTCATTTTTCTACGGAAAGTTTTCCCTCTCCTCGGGTGGAAGGAGTTTTGAGACAAAGCGGCAAACACGGCGCTGTTTTCTCCTCTGTTCTGGTGAGTTGCCTCCTATTAGTTCATGAAGAACTGCTAATACTAAAGCAGCTTTCTGTTACTTCAATACATGGAAAGCGTATTGTGTACTGTAATGTTTAGCAGGTTATAGAAGTGACACGTAACTGCATCTGCTTTTCCTTACAAACTTTTTCAATACGTAAGAAATATGGATCGAAAAATCGTGAATAGCGGATCCGCCACACTTTTTAGAAACATCGTATCTGTAAAAAAAAAACCGTTCTAATTAATTCATTGTGTCTTGAAGCGACTTTTTCCCCGTAAATAAAGAAAGGAAAGAGACTCAGTAGGCTGCATTAAGTAAGATTTAAATATCTGTTTGTAAGAAAATGTTTTTGCTACCCGTACAATTAATTCAATGTAACCAAACTGTTTTCTTGCATTATGAGTAAAATCGGACCTGTACACGACAACATGCATCCCTCTTCAAAACTGGCAAAACGGGAGAACAGCTTGGTGGGTTGATTTTCCTCACCTGGAAAGTTTGTAGAGACTGGAACTGTGACAATCAAGGCTGGATGAACAGGGTTCAGTTATTTTGCCCCAATGATTTTGTATTTGGTCGAGATTATTCTATCAGTTCTACCTGTTTCTGTCTCTCAACAATTAAAATGAGATGATATAATTTGATAAACCTTCCTTAAAGCCATTAAAACATTTGGTGTGCCTTTGTTTCTTTGAAATGTGAGTCAGTATGGAATTGTGATGAATAAATATGAGTTATACATCTTTGTTTGTTTCTTCCTTTCTTTCTTCTTTCTCTTTCACAACCTGTCATCTCTACTGTTTGCGAGACATTATGTAAACACTTCACTTCCTCCACATGTGCTTCAGTCATGCTGTTGTACCAATATTTACTAAATACCCACAAATAAATGTAATCATTTCTTCCTATTATGATTTGACAAAATTTCACTGGTATTGTTAAGTTTTTCCATTAACATAATAGGACATGTTTTTGGTTTGTGATTCACTTCATCTTGATCTTGAAAGTTTCAGAATGTGAACATCACCTTGAGAAACATAATCACAGTTTCCACAGGGAGTGTTCACACTCTGGTTTTCTGTCGTGGCTTAAGGCAGAACTTCACTCTGAGTGGCTTTCCTGTTATGTTTAATATCAGATGAGGTGGATATTTATCATTTACTGTGAATATTTCTTATGTAAGAATTTTGTCTCGATAAATTTCTATTAATCATATTAAATAAGGAACAAAACTTAACAGTATAATTGTACTATTTTCTGTCTGTTGCATGGGAACAACAAACAGTAAATTTGAAAACATGATTAAATACAGTTTCTATGTACGTGAGTTTGAAACATTAAATGTTTTCCAAGTCAAAATGTTAATTAATGTTTCATTTATTATGTTTCAACTCTGAACAGGTGGGTTTTTAGTCTAGATTGAAAGGAACGCAGTGTTTCAGCTGTTTTGTAGTTTTCTGGAAGCTTGTTCCAGATTTGTGATGCATCTAATCAGAATGCTGCTTCTCCATGTTTGGTTCTGGTTCTGACACAGAGCAGACCAGAACCAGAAGGTTGTCTAGAAGGTTGATTCAGTTTGCTTCATGTTCCTTGTACCTTTTCTCCCCTCAGTGATGACGTTGGAAGCTCACCTCTGACAGCCACGATGTCTTGGGGCGAGTTCATCGAGCTCCAGGACCTGAACTCCAGCAGAGACCAGATAGAACTGGCAGGCCCGCGTTCGCCGTGCTCGCCCCCACGCCTGGAGCGAACGAACGCCTTGAGGATCAGCCCGGGGAAGGTGCCGGACCTCCTGAGCCGGGTGGGCATCATCCGGGTCCTGAGCAGCTCCCAGGATCCCCAGTTTGTGGAGGAGAAAGGAGAGGGACACAACTTTCAGCCCTGCAGCCACGCTCAGCCAACATGGTGCGACCTGTGCGGCGACTTCATCTGGGGCCTTTACAAGCAGAGCCTGCGGTGTGTCAGTGAGTCCGTTTAAAGTTTTGATCCAGCTGCATGTGAAGAGCAGTGAGAGATTTTCAGAAAGTTTGCATAAAATATTGTTTTCGGTTCATTTTTTTTTAGGTCTGCTGAAAATACTTTGCTACATGTAGGGCTGGATGATATGTCTGAAAAACCTATCACCGCATTTCATATCGGTGGATATCGATAATTATTTACTAGTTTTTTGGCTTTCAATATCAGGAATACTTCCAAACTGGTGAAAACTCTATCAAACGTATCACGTGTTTAATGTATATTGTTACTGATTTATTGTCCAGCCCTATGTACACAAATTAAAAACTCAGAACAAGAATAAAAGCCTTACTAAGTATTATCAGTACAATGAGGCAACTTAAACAGAGGAAAATGCCATTAACTTTGCAGATTTAGCTTTAAAAAGCCCCACTCTGTTGCTTTATGTCATGTCCACAAGACGGCATGCTTTTACATCTGTACAAAACACAATGTGTGACGGGAATGCTAACAGCACATTCCCCTATACCTGGGGTGCTCTAGTTCAGTCCTCAAAAGTTACCATCCTACAACTTTTAGATGTGTCCTTACTCCAACAGACTGGGATCAAATGGATGAATTCCCTCACCATCAGTCATTGAGCTCTGAACAGGCCTGGAAACGAGCCATTCTTTGGATTCAGGGATGCATCTGAAAGTTGCTCTCAAGAACTCGACTTGAGCACCCCGTCCCTAAACACGATGGTGGCAGGATTATGCTGTGTTGCAAGGTCAGGGAGGGCGGTCAGAGTTGATAGGAAGAGAGATTTAGTTTTAAGCTGTGATGCATATATTACTACCTCGTGTGTGTTCAGTAGGGCTGGTTGCATTAATTGTAATGAATCAATTATTGAAATAATTGTCAACTAATTTCGTAATCATAATTAGTAATTATTTACTAGACTCCAAAAAGGCCAATTGCTGGAAGGAAAACATATTCATAGCAGTAATTAACTAAGCCAAAACTTTAAGGAAAACGTTCTTTGCCTGTAAATATATTCTACGCAGAACTCCTTAAGTGGCATAGCTTTTACTTCACTACGGTCAAATTATGTAAATAAAAAAAATCCTATTAAGTACCTTTAGCTATCCAAATATTAATTGATTAGTCAGACAAAAAAATCAGCAGATTAACCTTACACTGTGTTGTTAAGTTAAGCAGAAAGGTTGAGTTTTTTTACCTGCAGATGCTCCTTTACTACACTAAAGAATGCTATGATACAGCATTTCAGACGATAAAATGTGCATTTTCTTATTTTGAAAAAATAATTATTTGTAATTTTTTTTAGGTTTTATCATATTTCATAAAATCTCTTATAAATGAGAAATCTGTAGAATGCGACAATATTTTAATGCTATGAATTGATTAATCGTCACAATGACTGATTAATCTACAGAATAATGAATTACTAAAATACTTGTTAGCTGCAGTTCTAGTGTTCAGGACAACAAAGAGAGCAATGAAACATGGGGACACTAATCTATGTGCTTGTTTTGGTTGTAATAGTGGTTTGAAAGTAGGCTGTTTCTAGCACACCGTAGGTGGTTTGGTGCTCTGGTCATAATCAAAGCTGCAAACGTATTTCCTTCATCGCTCACTGAGCTTCGCAGAACTTTCCTCCAGGCGTCTGAACAGAAGGAAGCAGCTGTGGTTTGTGCTTAATCTAAAGTGCCCAACCATAATCTTTCAACTCTCGCCTAAATACAACCTCCCTTTATTCATTTCCAACAACTTTTTTGACGTAATTATTTAAACCAGGAGTGTCCAAAGTCTGGCTAAGAGGACTTTTTTTCGTCAAAAAGTTAATTTCTGGTTACTGTAACAACCAGTAACCGGCAACTCGTCCTTGTTTTTATTTTTCTGTTGCCGTTTGTAACTGTTGTTCAGAAGCCGCTAGACTGAAGCTAACCACCAACTTCATTTTCTCTCTTGCTATAGTTAGATGTAAGCAAAGTACCCAAAAATAGCACTACTTTGACGTATTTTTACTCAAGTAAAAATAAAACGTAGCCATCCAAGAAATTACTCAAGCAATACTTACAAAGTATTTGATAAGAAGTCTGCTCTGGTATCTTTTTAAATTCTCAATTATTTGATGTTTAAAAATTACACAATCAGATGGACCAAAATATAACGTTTTGGCATTTTAAGGACAAAAATTACAATATGTCAGACAAGTAAAAAAAACAACAACATAAAAATAGCAAAATCAGGCTAATGAAACTAACAAAAACTGCAGGTGTGTCATTGTCTGGTGAATGTTTGGCTGAAACATGTTTGTTCTTTGTTCAGTGGAATTCCTCATAGTGGGTAGAAAATCCAGAAATTGTATTCAAATAAAGAGTACTTGAGTTATACAGTTATTCAAGTACAGTGTAGTAATATTACTCTTAAAACATTTTTTTCAAACGACTTACTTGAATAAATGTAAAACTGTGTTATAAGTAGACTAAATGCTTCACGTGCAACAACATTCACAGGTCACCAAATTCCAAACATTTTTTTTTATTTGTAAATGAATGTTGTTTTTTTATTATTGTTTTTGTATTCTTAGTTGTGTATCCTGAACTTATTAAACTTTCTGAATGTGCAGATTGCAGATTCACGTGCCACTATCGCTGCCGTGCGCTGATTCGGCTGGACTGCAGCTGGGAGCGAGGCTCTACGGCGGACCTCACCGCTGTCGTGGAGCACACAATCGAGACAGACACCAATATGGTGAGCCCTCTCATGTGTCACTGCAGTGACTTTCCTCGCTTTGTTTGTGGAAGTGAGCACTGCCCAGAGGCAGAACTTCTTATTTATGGACATCATATCAGGACTTCTCTAGAAGGCTCTCATGGAGCAGGGCTGGATTGCTTTAAATGGACCGGCTTTACAATCAAAAACAGGAACCATTTCTTTAGTGCATTAAAAAATACCCTTTATTTTATTTAACTAAAGGTCAGCAAGTTTACTTATATCGACGAACCGTTTTGCTTGAAAGCTGTATCTCATTCTGGTTTGCAATAAACAGCAACAGCTCTAAAAAGAGAAGTCAGATGATTCAAATGAGAAATTGGTTACCAAAAAAATTACCTTGAGCAAAAATCTGGGTCAGTGGTTTTTAACGGGAACGTAAATATGTAAGGAAAAATCTGAACACAATAACATTTTTTAAGCACTGATCAATTCTAATTCTTTGTTTGGTTGCAATGCCGAAACAGTTTGTCTTTTCCTGCTGCGTGTGTTCCTCACCATTACATCATCTTCTTTTTTGTCTTATGTTTTGCCCGACAGCTTTTTTATTTAAACTGCTACTCTGAGAAAATTAGCTGCAGACATCTTTACACAAATAGTCATAGGTTTTAGCCCATTTTCTTTCTAGGTACAGAACCACATTAACTAGTAAAATAAAGGAAAGAAAAGTAGTTGGATGAAAAGTTTCATTTATTTACAGTACTAAATAATCTGTAAATAAACTAAATAAAAATAAAAAAACAAGGCCACGCTTACTGACTCATGCAGTCTATAAGTTGTGTATGTGAGGCCTGTCAAGGAAGATTGTGGGCAATTTCTGGAACATCATACCTCCAGTTTATACTAGGAAGTCAGATAATGTGTTTCTAAAAAAATACTTCTACAGTTGTATTTTCTCGCTTCAGTTTTAAGCAGAAAGACACAACCAGCTTCTCAGTTGCTGAAGAAATGATACAGATAAACGCAAGAAAAACCTTCCAGCCTGGGATGCCTTTAGTGCTATTGGTTCTGCTCAGTTCTGACACAAACTGGTGTGGAGGGGACATTATCAATCAATCAGTCAGTCAAGATTATTTTTATGGCATATTTCAGCAACAGTTCAGTTCAAAGTGCTTTACATAATAAAAACACAAAAATGATTAAGAGTACCATGTTGAAGAACAGAAATAGTAATATTATTAATACTATTGATACTAGTAGGTTTAGTATTTCAGATTACATGGACTGTTTGGTAAGACCAACACCACTATGTTAAGAGGAAATGAAATATGTTTGTACTTTTGTTTATATATTGCTTCATTCACATATCCGCATGCTAATACATTTTTTATTATTCTTGCTGCTATCAAAGTAACATTGACTATTCAGGAAAGCAAAATGTGGTAACACCTCTTCAGTGAGCTGAGCAGCAGTGCTCAGAAACAGGTGGGGGAGGGAGAGCACTGCTCTACTTTATATTTAATGCTGCTGGGAAAAACCCAAGTTTTCTCTGGCTTCTCATTAAAAGGACTAAACCAGAAGCACAAAAGGAGGAGGAGGATCTTTTCTCAGATTATCTGTCTCATGTTGTACTGTCACATCATAGTGACAGTTTCAACAAATATATAAAAACACATTTTTGTAAAAGTTAAATACAGCAGCTTTAAGGATGTTTTGGTTGCAAGTAAACAGAGTTTCAGTTTATAGGAAGGGTACTTTCAGGTGACCTTTTCTGTTATTCTGTTAATTTCATGAGGATGTGAGGTACAGGATATTAACGTCTTGTGAGAGTCCATCAGGTCATATTACAGTTTAAACAGTTTGCCGTAAAGACGGAACAGCACATGTTTAATTTAGGCTGTTTGACATTATAGACATTGAGGCAAAAGATCAGAGATCAAAAAACGATTTTGAGTTTGGTTTCTGGTCAGTTGTGCATTGTTAGAGTTTACTAGATACCAATGGTAATATTTAGTGATAACCTTATATAAAAAGTTAATACATCATGAACAAAGTTGCGCTTGTTTAAAATAAAAATCTAAATTAGGTTTCCCTGATTTCCTGAGCAGGAACTGCAACTTGAACAGACTGACAGCTGAAACTTAAACGGGAACTTTGTTGTTCTTAGTTCCCTTCAAACAGTCCTAACCTGGTATTTGTTTTTGTGACACTTCTCCACTGATAGATGCAAAGCTCTAAATTTGCAGCTTCAGTTCAAGCAACAAGTGCTTTTTAAAACCCAAACATTCGTTGACTCCCACTATTTCTTTTCAAACTGATTTGTTTTTTCATTCTTTTTTTTTTTAATTTGCATTGAAATCAATAACCATGTGACAACTGGGCGGGTGTGAATTCATGGTGGAGTGCATTTTTTAAATTTTGGTCTCAAAAGCCCACATGCTGGCCAGGCTGCCGCCACAGTAACCCCCCCATCATCACATGACATTCAGGAGGCGGGAGCGGAGGAGGAGGGGAGTCCTTCCTCCATGTGGGATGTTCAACCTCTGGCTTTAGATCAAACTCATGTTAGTACAGAGGGGAGATGACGGTAAATTAAACTAAATCTGAAAATAGCCAACTGCTTCTATAGTTTTAGAACATTGGAGGAAAGTCAGTATTTCCAATATATTATGAACTGCATATATGAAATACATTTATAATCAGAGTTAATTTATTTAATTTCTTTTTAAAAGGACTGCACAAATAGTGATAGCTGGGGTATTTCTTTTTTGTGATAATACTGTTTTATGTTTTAAATTTTTATTAGCTAACAAAGTCTTTGTCGTCCTCCGTAAAGAACAACAAAACTGTGGCACAGTTGTGTCCTCAAATGTATTAACACAAGAAATGCAACAGCTTTAGCAAAACTCATGACTGGGTTTTCCTTCACAATCGTTTCGAAGCTTTATTTATCTCTGTTGCTTGTATGCAGTTTTTCCTTCCACTAAGCCTTACTCTAGAATATTCTCAGACAGCACACCTTCTCTAGCAGTCCTTATGGAGGGTGTTATTCACTGACATCTGGACTGTCTTTAGGCAGTAACATAATATTTCTATTATATATTTTAAATTGGCCTCATGCAAGATAATCTTTTTCTGAGTATTTCCACATTTGGTTTTCAAAAACTGTGCCTAATGTTACTCAAAAGCAATGACTCAGTAAAATATGTCACCCTTACCTTTTGATCCTCATTACTTTAAACAAATGAGATTTAGATTATAAGAAGGGACAGAGGTTCTTGAGGAGATCTCGATCCTTTAAGGTTTGCATCAAAATCTTGCATATATTCTATAGGTTTGTAGTGGAGAGTGCACTGCGCCATGAGAACCAGGGACTTAGAAAGGATTAACGATCTAATAAAGCAGAGTGGTTGTGTTCTGGGGATTGTTCTAGAACCTAAGGAGATTATTGTCCAATGTTATGGACAACTCTAAGCATCCCCTATATAAGACTATTATTCAACTGTTTTTTTCAGTCAGGGGCTTCATTAGAATCACTGTAATACAGTCTGCTACAGGAAACCTTTCCCGTCCAGAACCATCAGCATCTACAGCAACTCTTTGAAGAAAAATGTGTAATATGAGTTACCATATCTGATCATAAAGTATTAATATTTGTGACTAATACTTTAATCATACAGTATTAATCTTCATGATCAGAAATAAATTATTTCTGATTATGAAATACTGTATTTAAATTACAACCTAGCTCTGTTAAGATCAGAGTTGGGTTGTAATTACTCAGTTACATTTACTTAACCTTTTGGGGGAAAAAATATCCTTTTAGGAGTATTGTCACTATGCTGTACTTTGTATTTTTACTTGAGTACATTTTATTACGATATATCACTACTCTTACTTGAGTAAAAATTCTGGGTACTCTGTCGAAAGTGGGTAACTTCACCGATTGAAGAACAATCTTGTTTTTAACAAAATAAAAATTACCAGTTAATTTGTTGTTAAAAAATATTTAGAGAAGTGTTTCTTTTGTGTGATTTTATTTAGTAATTGTAATATTTATATAAATAATTTCATGTTTGATCTTTAAAAACACCTAAATTTCTACATATCTTTATATTTTGGTCAGTCTGATTTTGATTTTGTAATTTTTAAGTAATTAAATGATTGATGTGATCATTTAGTCAGTACTTAAAGCCTTTTCACTCTTACTTGTGTGACTTCTTGGACAGCTTCTTTTCACTCTTACCTGAATACAAATGTGCAGAAGTTTGCTGCTGTTTCCCACCTCTGGTTAAAACCAAACCAGTTTGATTATTTGCGGGTGGGGGACGCATGGTGGGCTCTCCGGCCTTTCCGTCCAATCGGGACCCTCTCCGGCGTTTTGTGTATTTCTAAACTGGAGACCAACGGCCTGGGTGGGGCCTCCGAGGGAGGACGGAAGCGCGGCGGGCGGGGCCGAGAGCTCCGTACATCCTGTTTCACACACACTGGAAACGTGGCCGGTAGTTGAGGGCTACAGAGAGGAAGAGGGAGGAGAAAAACTGGGTGAGACTGCGCGGTTGTTGAGCTTTTCATAGACACATTTTATAGTGCGCGAGACAACCGTTGGACGTCTTAACAGTGGCCGTTATTTAGCATCGGCTAGCAACCTCTTTCGCCAATTTTGTGTCGGTAAACCGCTCAGAAGTGACTCGGAAGGTCGTTTAACGTTTAGTTTTGAGAAGTGAGTTGATTATTATTATTGCTACTAGCGATAAGAACCATGGCAAGCGAGGCGAACAGCTCGGACAAGACTCCCTCTTTCGAGATGACCTGGGGCAGCTCCACCAGCAGCGGCTACTGCAGCGAGGAGGACTCGGACTCAGAGTTCGAGCAGTACTTCACGGCCCGGACGTCTTTCTTTCCCAAACCCCGAAAACCCGCCGTTACTAATGACGTTAAGAAGGTGAGAAGGAGAGAAAATTAAAACGGAACAATGCTTCATAAAAGTTTTTGGGAAGGAGAAGTGAGAGCAGACCGGGTTGGGAGGTCAACTCTCGCGTTGTTTCATTTATATGTCTTAATTGTTTTCATCAAATAGAGGCAAATTCATAACTTAAAAAGTTGTTGACATGTCGGAAATTTGCACAGTCTGTTCTGTTTCTACCTTTAATTATCATGGTAGCTCCAGGGAACCCCAGCAGGCTTTATTCTTGCCAAGCAAGTTTCCTGGTTCTGGGTGGAGTTCTGCTTCCTCTATTTTCTGGTTTCAGCACTCAGAAACTTTATTCTTTTATCTAATTTTTAATAAAAAATAAATAAGTAAAAAAAAAAGTTTGTAGATCACAAAACACTAAAACTCCAGTAGGGTTTGCTTTCTTTTTCGATATTACAATTCCAGGCCCACTGGTGCGTTCTTCTTGAAATCAGCCCACATGTTATGTTCTTGTGACGCAGATTTGCTTCTCAAGTTTCCAGCCCAACACCCACCATTCATTGTCATCTGAACTCTCTGGTTTTTGGCAAATTTCACAATTCTAAGTGACTCATGAAACCTGATGGGTTTTGATCCGTATCTCTATCTTTTAGTCACACGCCCGCACTGGGGTGTCTGATTCTGTCTTGATGAGAAACAAATGAAGTTTACAGTAAACATACAACATTGTCTTGTCTTGCAGAGGCCCTTGTTTATGTTGTTGGCACTCCTTATGCAGGCGTGTTTAGGCACACCGTGATTGCATGATCCTTAACACAAGTACATTGCAAAATGCCAGTTTCCGGTGACTCATTGATTTATTGATTCCTTAGGGACAACATGTTAACTCTCCATCCAGGAGCATTACTATTGATCTCCCACTTGATGTTGATTTATGTGCTGCAAATTTCTTTAAGAGGTCAAGATTATTAAGAGGTTAACTTTTGAGCTGAAATGACAATTAGGGTTGGATTTCCAATTTTCTATTAATTTTGAAGTCAAACACTGAAACATATGTATGTTTTTAGTTCTAAAAGGTACCAGCATTTTCTACCTGCATGCACCTCAGATCAGATCAAAGCCATACATAAAGAGGCATAATCTTGTACTTTTCTGCAGAACATTTCTTCCTCTTTTTTGTTATCTTCCATTTCAAAAATCAACTGAATCTGCAGGGCAACAGAAATGGAAAGCTGTCAAAAAAGGCAATTTTTGGTGCTGTTGTCTGTACAGATGCTTAGATTTAACTCTTCTGAAGTCTCGATTGTAACAACTCCTCAGTTAATGTTGCACAGTGTGACTAGCAGGAATTTGTGCCTCAACACCAGGCCAAATTAGGCTGCTGGTCATTGACTTGCCAGAGGCCAAATGTGCATGACTGCAAAATGACTGTAGGTGTGTAGTTTGTCGGGCAGTTGACCTAATAGGATGTGGCTTGAAACAAGGGCTAGCTTTGTCTCACTTGTTGGAGTCTGAAGTTGAGGGGGGGTGGAAGCTATTTTTACATGAACACCAGGCTGAGGAATGCAATGCTGTTGGTCGCAGTCATTGCACAGCTGCAAGTTATTCCCCCTCCCTTCTTCCTCATCCTCCCTGCCAGCCTCCCTTCCTCCTCCCTTCAGCTCTCCTACACAGAGGGATCAGAGGAGTTAAGCAGGACTAGAGAGGACTGACATCATCATGTTTCCCTTTGCTGCGTTGTCAGGAAGTTGAGTCTGATGCAACTTGAACCCATAGAGGAAAATTCATAACACGTTATGAAAACAACAATGATGGAGTCGCTTTAGGTTTAGTAAGTTCCCCTGCCTGTAAGATCCTATCTGGAATAAATTCACAATCTTTTGTGTATGGATTAGAAGGATTGTGTTCTTGTGTTGTATTTTGTACTTTTTGAAAAAAAAAAAAAAGAACAATGTCTCTAAGAGCATCTAGATCTCTTTTGATTGTATTTTTGACTGCTGAATTTTTTTTTCTCACTTTGACATTTTTTTAATGTGAGCAATTTTAAATACAACATAAATAAAACCAATAAAATATCCTCAACAATAAATAATTTAGTTTTTAGGTGTCTAAATCTTAGACATCTGATTTATTTGTTTTGCTTTCATAAAAAATACAGCACTACCTTTTTAACTTAAAGGTATTGTGCTGTTTCTGAGAAACAGCGCCACCTGGTGCTTCATCACTAACTCCTCTCTGTCCTTTCTAGGATGAACAAATCCAATGTGAGAAACAGGAGCTAACAACTGCTGAAATTCTGCAGAAAGTGAAGGAATACAACTCCCAGATCAATAGCAATCTGTTCATGAACATGGTGAGTAGTTATCTAAAACATTTTTTTGCAGAAAGGCTTCTTTTTGGCGTGTAATGTTTTTCTTTTTATATTTATATATTTATTTTAACAGAACAAGGACGGGTCCTACACTGGTTTTGTGAAGGTTCAGTTCAAGCTAGCGCGCCCCGTGTCGGTCCCAGCGCCAAAGAAAGGAGGTGCAGATGCTGGAGGGAAGCGACCCGGTGGGGTGAAGCGTCGCACCTCCTTCTACCTGCCAAAGGACGCCTCCAAGCATTTGCACATAAGCTCCCGTACTTCTGCTCGTGAGGTCATCGAGGCTCTGCTGAAAAAGTTTACTGTGGTAGACAATCCCGGCAAGTTTGCACTGTTTGAGCGCAGCGAGCGCCATGACCAAGGTACTGTTTCTTTTAAAAAGAAGAAAAAAATCTAATCCTAATTTGCTTTTCCAGAAAATAACAATCTCCATTTTGCCTCCTCCAGTTTATGTTCGCAAGCTCTCTGACGACGAGCGTCCTCTCCGTTTGCGCCTGAATGCTGGACCCAACGAGAAGCTCCTCAGTTTTGTTCTCAAAGAAAATGAAACTGGTGAAGTGAATGTAAGCGAAGCATCCAGTTAAAAGAACCAAATCAAAACTACTAATGAATCTCACAGGCATTGACATGTTCTTCCCCCCTCTTTTGCAGTGGCATGCTTTCTCCATGCCAGAGCTGAAGAACTTCCTGCTCATCCTGCAGCGTGAGGAAGAGGAGCACGTCAAGCAGATCGTACAGCGATACACTTTGGCTCGCACCAAGATGCTGGAGGCACTGTCCGGCTCAACCCCGGGCTGAAGCCACTCTGCGCACGGAGTTTGATGTGCAGCAGCCTGGCTGGTCAGCTGTGACCGGACGCTGCCGCGTTCAAAGACTCCGGAGAAAACAGCAGAAGAAAAAACACCTCTTGGTTGAACGAGAGTGTGAGATAGGGCGCAAGACTATGAGAGAGTAAGAGCTAGCGCGTATGTTGGTGTGAAATGATGCGAGAGATGAGAAGTGCCTTACACCTGGAGAGTCTGATGTGCCTGAGAGGATGAGTTGAGCGGACTGAGACTGGCAGACGGGACAGTGATGTCCTGCAACTGGTGCCTTCTGACTATTCTGGACCTCAGCTGACAAGACTTCATCTTAAAAAACAATGCAGCTTCTTTTTTTTCTTTTTTTTTAAAAAGAAGCTTGACAGCTTTATTTTACTGTAACTGAGGCATTTCTAAAAGCAAACAACTAAATTTATTTGTTCTTAAAGGGTGAAAATCCTCTTTTTTGCCCTCTGTTAATTTTTATTTCAAATGCCCCAAAAATCTTAGATTCAGTCAACATTTCTGGATTTTAATTCTTCATTTTAAAAAAATTCCCTTGTCTGAAGCTGAAAGGTATTTGAATTTTCATTGCATCCAAGTCTGAAGAGCTGCCATGTCCACTCCACACCCCTGATGGGTGCAACTCTTTACTTAGCGGTCACTTTGTGAGTATGACTGACGTATGGACATTTGTATGAGATTATGAATGTCAGAGGGCTGTGTCACAAGTAACTAGAGTGACTGGATTTGTGAATGACTGTTGCCATACTTGTGTTTAACTGGACGCTGCTTATCATTCCTTTTATATTTGTGTTTTTCTCTGTTAATCACTAAAGTGTTTGTCTTCTGTTTCCTTCCACTTTTCCTGTTTTAAATGTAGCAGTCTTACGGATGTCTGGCAGATGTGAACAGCATTTAATAAAAATAACAAATTAAGCAGTGGTTTTCTTTGAGAGACAAGAATGGATAAAGCATCTCCTTATCAGGGAAAGGCTGATCAACAAACGAAGTAGGAATTACTTTTTTTTTTTTTTTTTAAAGATTTTTGTCACAAGCAAATATACACTGACAGTAACAACAGAAGGGTAATAAAGTAGAAAGTATTTAAATTTGATGGGGTGGAGAAGAACATTGTATCTATGAATATGATCATCATTAGCTGCAATGACTGAGGAATTTGATTAAATATAACATGGGATTTTGACATAATCACAGTTGCAAAGGATTAAGTTTGACTGGTGACTTTTTTTTTTAAATAAATTTATAACAGAACAAAACAAACGGGCCATAGTAAAATGTGTGGTGACAAACTACATCGTTCATTAATTTTACCGGAATATAAATCATAACTCCATAACTGTTGTTAACTGTCTAATTGAATTAGAACCGTGTTTGGGATATTTCACATCACTTCCTTGTAGTTTATGGCACTTCGTAAATAGTGGACGAATAAGAAGCCCCAACGTTGTCAAGGAGACGGATGTTCCACCTCATTGGTCAAAGGTCAGTGAGCGACTGCAGCCTATCGCTGAGATCAGCTGATCGCATCATCCTCACTGCTGCTAGCAGAACAGCAGGAAGTTATGAGCCCACTTGTCGATTTAACAAGATATAATAAGGTAAGATTATTTATGTTAAGCGTTGATGTGTGAGAAAAAAGCATTTTGGTGTGCCAATAGTGAAGCTTCGGTGCGAATAATTACTTTAGCCGTTGAAGCTAATATGCGTCAGTGGTTGAAGCTAACAGCTAAGACTGTATGGACGTTTCCATTTGTTTACTGGTTGTTAGTCGT